CCCCCCCCGCACAGATTTCAGAGCTAGGACAGTTGGTATTTTCTGGTCTCAGTCACGCCTTCAGAATCTAAGACAAAAATGTTTAGATCAACTGGTACCTGACTAGTGGTGTGTCTGGATTAATGGAATATTTTAAAAAGGAGAATGTCGTGTTTTTTGTGCGTAAACACTTTTTGTTAAGCAAGATGCTACGTAATAACTTTAGTTTACAAGTGTTCTGTTCAATTTCGGTAGGTGTATATGCTTGGATTGGCATCAACTTTGTCCTTGGAAGATTTGAGCATACTGATGATGGTAAGTTTGTTTAATAGCAAATTGGTGCTGTTTATGACCACAGAAGCACCGATGGTGATCTGCTGGATCATGTCCTTCTCCCACCCTGTTCCACTGAATGGACTTTGGTCAGCGGCAGAGTTGTATCTGATGCTCCTTAATAGGTTAAAGAGACTAAAAATATATGCATAGGTTAATGAGAGCACAGAAAAATCAAGTAAAGACATGAATGATTCTGCATATCTCTTCAGGTAATAGAATGCATGACAAGGGATTTGATTGGAGTTCTTCTGTGTGAATATGATGTAAGAACCACACTGCTGGATCAAACCAAGTTCCACTTAGTCCAATATAGCAGCAGTTAGCCAAGTGTCCTTGGGTGCTCAAAAGAAGGGCATGAAAATGTTGTCCATGCCCAGTTTACTCCCAGAAACAGGTTCTCAGACATATACTGCCTCTGAACTGAGCTTCCACTTAGCTGTTATGGCTAATAGTCCCTGATAGCATATCCTCTATAAATTGTTCCTTTTTAAAAAGCCATCTAATCCGATGGCCATCAGATCTTATAGATTTGAATTTTGTATGTTAATTATGCATTGTTTTTGAACATACTGCAGTTTAACATACTACAGGTCAGCTTCACGGCGTTCTTTTATTATATGGGTGACAGAAAAATGTTTGTGTTAACGTTTTGTAATGCTCAGTCATGTCTCCCATTAGTCACCTTATTTCTAACCCCAAGCATATAATTTGATCTCTTCAGAGTTGTTGCTTCAACCCCTTTATAAATTTGGTTCTTCTTTTCAGTATTGTTGCTAGTTATGCCCAGCATTCAGAGCCCTTTCTGCTCAAAGACAGCTCATGCATTGTAAAAGTTGACACAGCAGCACATAGATGGGTTTGGGCAAGGCATATTCAGTCCAGACTGCGGGTCTGTTCTGATAATGGTGATACTTTGCTCTAGTGCAAGGAGCTTTCTGCTGACGCTGGGGCTTGAAAGAACTTGCAAGAGCCTCTCCCATCAGTGGAAGTCTCCTTGTAGGAAGCTCCTCAGGTAGTGGAATGGGTCTATAAGATCCAGCCCTCTGTTTGCAGTCTGGCAGACTCTGACTCTAGATCTATGTGCGCGAGTTGCTATTACAGCATTGGAGGCAAGCATGGTAGCACAAAGATTCAGAATTCATTGCTAAGAAGTGCTCACCCTCACCTCATCAGATTTCTCAGGAGTGTTTCCTTCACATCTTATCTTTCAGAGGATGATGCTGTAGTGGAGGTGCATATTCCTGGCAGTGAAAACAAGGAAGCCATTGTCCGAAAGAGGACTGTGGGTATACTTGACATGGGTGGTGTGTCAACTCAAATAGCCTATGAAGTCCCTAAAACTGTAAGCTTTGCCTCTTCACAGCAGGTTATTATCTGTACAATTTTCCTTCTTTTCCTTTTGCGTTTTCCCCTGTATTTTAACCCATATCCATTGATTCTTTTTTCTTTTGCGTGTTATGAGTCCAGTCCTTCATTACAATGACATCTTCACCCCAAGGCCAGAGAAGAGGCGAATGAGGGTGTCTCATCAGTTAAGCAAAATCCACCTGTATTTAATCATTTCATCAGTCGGTTTTAGTATCAGTGTGTTTGTTTAGTTATGGTGCACAACTGTTGTTTCTCTTAGCCTCACTTCACATTTTGCCAATGACACTTAGAAAACTTTTCATGTTAAAATCATGATTCATGCATTGTTGTGTAAGTGGTGGACAGCACTTTTTTGTGGGAGGTCTTTTACAAAACGGAAGTGTAAAAAATTAGCCTCCAAAGAGAAAAAATGTGTCCCAAAAGATAGCACGGCAGGTGTAGTGTTATTGTGCATAACACATCCAGATGCTTCCCTGCCTGTTGTGACATTCAAATGAAGCCACATGAGCAACTTAGCATTTAATTTACTGCCTTTTCTTGTGATTTGACCTACAGTGGTTCAGTGGGGCTACATTTTTACATGACAATGAATGTGTGCAATTGCAAATGTTTTGAGAGCAGTTCTCCATATCAGTGTAGGCGGGTTTGCTGTGACTGCAGTCCTTCCGAGCACTCTCATGGTTATTGAATCTTCCCCATCGCTATGTCGTATATGTGAAGTTCAGTGTAGGATGTAACTCTGATGTCACAAACTCATCGCATTTGTTTATTGCAGGCATGAACCTGGTTAAATCTCAAGTTTATGTACTCTCTCTCTCTCCTGCTCTTCTCATTCCTCTTGGCAAACCAAGATTAAAGACGGAAGTGTTCGGCCAGTTCTAGTTAGTCATGATGTCTGGATGTGGATACCTGAACAAGTTAGAGTTTAGCTTTAATCTCAGGAACTGGGATTTTTAACTATTATTCAGTTCTGGTTAAAAATCCCCGTTAGTTAGAAGAAAACCAGCATCAGTTTGTTCAGGCATCTGCATTTTTTACATCACAACTAATTGTGAGTGATCTGATTACTTTTGGCCTAGATTTGGTCATGGACAAGAGCAGTGCCAGTGTGGTGAAGAGTTTAAGAGCGGCAGACTCTAATGTGGAGAATCAGGTTTAATTCCCCACTCCTCCACATGAAGCCAGCTGAGTGACCTTGGGTCAGTGACCGTTCTTTCAGAACTCCCTCAGTCTCAGCTACCTCACAAGGTGCCTGATATGGGGAGAGGAAGGGAAAGGTGATTGTGAGCTGCTTTGAGATTCCTTTGGGTAGAGAAAAGCAGGGTAGAAAACCCAACTCTTCTTCTAGAGAGGAACTGTGTGAGCTGAACTGACACTTAACCAGGTTCGTGCCCATTGCAAACAAATGAAGATTTGTTTGATGTCTCAGGAGGGCCATAGGTACTGTGGGGCATTTCAGGGCCATGCCCCCTCAGCTGTGAGCAGTGCCCCACCACATCCGCCCCTGCCACAAGAGGGCCATAGGTACAGTGGGGCATTTCAGGGCCACGCCCCCTCAGTGCCCCACCACATCCGCCCCTGCCACAAAAGGCAGGAACGCTGGTCACACTTATTTGCCTCGCTGCAGGAGAAGGAGAGCCAGCCAGTGCACTCTCAGCTTTGCAACAGAGAGCGCATTCTGGCCATCTCTCCTTTTCCCAGGCCAGGCACCAGCCAGGGCCGCAAGCGAGCAAGCCAAGTGGGCGGGCAAAGATCAGGCAAGCAGGCCTCTCTGCAGTGTGCCTGTGCCAAGGGAGGAGTCGTGGCGGCTGGGTAACAAGACTCCTCCCCTGGTGTAGGTGCACTGAGGCCAACGTTGAGGCTGGCGTTGGCCTCTCCCTGACAGTCTCAAAGCTCTGTGTGTCTGGCCTGCCATGGAAAAAAAGAAGCTCAAACCAACTTACAACTTAAATACCAGTGGGCTGGACTGTGACCAATGGTTCAGAAGGCTCAAGGACTTCCACTCGTGGGAGGATGATTTCCCACTTCGCTCTTCCCACGAGACTGATTGGCCCCTGAAATTCTGTTCCTGTAGGATGGAACAGGGGGGTGGGGGGTCGGGATCACGTTTCATGAGAAGAAGTCCTTGAGCCTGCAGAAATTTGAGTCAGGATCCGGGCTGCAGTGAGAAAGGGGAATCAGGTAAGACTGCCTCTCTTCCACCAGTGGAAAAGCTGGTCAGCTCCAACCCAGTACAGTCCTTTACAGACAATGGTAGTAGCTCATCATTATCGACAGGATAATTATTGACAGATGTTGTCAGCAGCAATATAAAAATTATACTTCAGTATTCATTAAAAACATGAAAACCTTCAGAAGTAAGTCTTTGTGTGTCTGTTAGAAGCCTGACTTGGCCAAGCCCAGCCAGTGAGATTTGTGCCTGAGGAAGGGGGCATGAGCCCGGATCATCTCCCAGGCACCAGATTCATTGTCCGGTGCTGCGCCATACTCCGTGCCAAAGATGCCCTTTCATAAGTGTATAACATTTGCCAAAGAAGGAATCTCACCTCACACTTATAAGTACCAGAAATACAAACCAGCAATCTTTCACAGTGCTTACGATTAGTAAAACTGGCTTTTAAAATGGCTTTGCAAATCTTTGCTGACTACTCACCTGTCAATTTGACAAAGCAGTCAATAGTCCTTCATGAGGTTTAGGACTTTGTTTTTCCCTCTTGGGAGTGCTAGAATAGCCTAAATGCTGTTCTTGAACTGTCCAAGTCAAGTGCAGCCTGTCAGTCACGGATGGCAGCCTGCAGGTGCTCATTAATCCTCCTGTTGTTGCTGCCTGCCTGAGTTTACAGAAGTGGGGAGGGGGGAGGCAGCAGATGTTTTTTCACCGTTGTATGCTAATAATAACAATTCAGCCTTGCATATTAGCCCACACATTCCAGTGGAACTCAGGTGTGGCCTTTCAACAGCCTAACAAAAAAAAAACAACCCCCCATTTTCATCCAATTTATAAAAACTTCCCTAGCTGTTTATCTGGAGATGGTTTTTTCTGGGTGTAGTTGAGTGACCATATTCAGGCCTGAATTAATTTCTGTTTCGCTTTAGCGGTGGGTGGGGGGGAGGGGAGAAAAGGGAGAAGCAAAGATAATGGGATGAACATGAGCACATATACCATTATGCTACAATCGAAGGGCTGCATTCTACTGGGGGCAACTTGTGCAGGTTTGGTCCATGCACAGTGATGAAGGAATGGATGTCACTTTCTCTAGAGTGTTGGTATCAGGCTCAAAGAATTCATTCAGAAAAATTTCTCATGAAAGGGTTTGAGAGCCACAAATCTGAACTGATTCCCCAGTATTTGGAGTATTGCTACATAAATAATAAGGCAGAGTGATTTATGCCCCTTATTCTCATGTTTGGCGACCTGCAGGAGGAGGTGGCCAAGAACCTACTTGCAGAGTTCAATTTGGGATGTGATGCTCATCAAACGGAACATGTGTACAGAGTCTATGTTGCAACTTTCCTCGGCTTTGGGGGGAATGCTGCACGGCAGAGATACACAGACAGCATATTTGCCAACATGATATTTAGAAACAGGTAATGATCTATGAATGACTTGACTTCATATAGAAAGTGTTTGACTGTCCTCTTATACACCCAGCATTAAACCTTAACATTACACAGGCACACATTGAACTGTTGAGAGCTGTATTTCCATTGCTAATATTGCAGTTGTTAAACTTTGGGTGTATGAAGTTCTGTGCATAACGGTCTTGAAGGGCATGACCACCAGGTTGATGGTGTGAGGGCATTGGTGTGTATAGAATACCATTTAATATGGATCATTTACCCTGAGACTGATAATTCTGGCAAATTGGTTAATCCACATACGCACTTTCTGTGTGCTGTATAGGGCCTGTTAAAATGTTACAGTCAGACTCCATTTACATTTGCGGGATTGTGGAGAATTCTGGCACCTGCATAATGCATAAATTTCTGAGCACTGTAGATCACATAAACATTGTGGCAGAGATCACAGCATCCCTCCATCCCACAAATATGAGAAGTGGTTTTTCTAATGATGTCTAGAACCTTATGTTGATTTTATTTATATTCTGCCTCTTTAACCATAACAGGATCTATAGGGTGGTGCATTACAACATATTAAAACATCAAAAAGACAAAAAAAAGATCTAGCAGTAGGGCAATGTGATCATTTCTAGATTTCTTCATGGGTTAATCCATCTGCCTTTAAAAATGATTGATTTTAAATAAAATTGCCATAAGCTAAGTGCAGGTTGCCTCTCTTGGATACTGAAAAGAAGTATGAGCATTTGTTTAGTATGCACACTCATACTGACACATATTGTTTGAAGGAAAAGCCATCTTCAACAGACTTCCTTTTTCATTACTTCATTCATTAAGAGCAGAGTAAAAATAACCTTAACTTGTAAACAACCAGGCCCTTAACTTGCCAATTACATTGTTTAAAGCTTAACCTTTGCTGGTTGATCAATTAAAGCTGAATTTTATCTACTCATTAAGTGTGAACTTCAGTCCCCTGTTTTCCAAAGCAGTCTTATCCAGGCAGAGCAGAGAGGCAAGCCAGGTACTGTTGGTGGTAAGAATGGGTCCTTTAGACTTTTCTGAGAATTCCTGATATTAAGATAAACAAAACACCTAAATATATCAAAGCCAGATGAGTTCATTACATTTTCCGGGGCTACTTCCCAGTGCAACTTGAATCCTACCTAGAATTTCTGTGGGTATAGGAGGGGCAGTTTTGACTGATTTCTCTACCACTGTCGAGACAGATCAAAACGCACCTCAAAATCTGCTCTTTGGGACAGGAGATCCCCAGGAATAGCTGAGGATGGAATAGGTGAAAATCATTGCCCCCCTACTCCTGCAGAAATTCTAGGTGGGATCTAGGCTCACACTGCCAGGATGTTCATATAAAACATCATAGTGTGTACAGAAATGAACTTCGTAAATGTGAATATGATATATACGTAGGTAAATTCACCAGGGAGCTCGACTTTGCTGCGGCTGCCTAACAAATGTATTCTTAGTGACAAGTGAGATGATGCCCCAGTTCATACATTCGTTTGGGACTGGAGCTGAGATAGAGATTGAAGAGCAGTGCGAGCTCAACCCCTTCAGCATTCATTGTCCAATGTGAGCCGGGCCCTCCCGAGTGAGCACCCAATAGAGCAGAGGCCCGGTCGGTCCAGATGAACGAGGACTCTGCACAGGCAGATGCTTGTGCATAAGACTCAGGTCACGCAGAGGCTCTCTTTGTAATCAAGAGGCTCTTGCCATTCATCCAGTATGCTATTTCAGTGCCACCCTGACTTGGCTGGCCCAGGCTAGCCTGGTCTCATCAGATCTTGGAAGCTGAACAGTGTTGGCCCCAGTTAGTACATGGGTGGGAGACCACCAAAGAAGTCCAGGTTTTTTGTGCAGAGGCAGGCAATAGCAAGCGACCTCTGCTCATCTCTTGTCCTGATACCCTCGGGGGGGGGGGGGCACTTTAAGTCAGCTGTGAAACGGCATTTTCCACTGGGCCTCCTAAAGGTATAAAGAGGGCCAAAGGGAATGCAGAATGAATTTTAATACAGCATTGCTTTCTGTAATCTGATTATGTGCAGCGTGTGTAACTCACAATAGAGTATTTTTTCCTCAAGGCAGAAACAACTGTACTCATGTCCTGGCTGCTTTGCTGTAAGGCTCCCCCCCCCCCACCTTTTGTTTTGTTTTATATGTGTGTGAGTGTGTGTGCACCTGGAAGTCATGGCGACCTCTGGTGACTGACCCCTACTGGAGGCCTGGAGGATATTCGGAGAGGTGGCTGAGTAAAGCCTGCCCCCACCTCCCGACTGCTGGTATTCCAGGGAGGTCTCCCATCCAAGTACTTGCCAGAGTCGACCCTGCTTAGCTTCTGAGATCTGACGAGATCAGGCTTGCCTAGGCTATCCAGGTCAGGGCCTGTAATGCTTTTCTGAGTGGTATAACTCTGCTCAATCTTGATTGCAGGCTTCTAGGCAAACAGACTGGTATGACGCCTGATACCCCCTATTTAGACCCATGTCTGCCTTTAGACATTGAGGATGAAATCCAACAGAATGGGCAGAAGATGCATCTTCGTGGGACGGGAGATTTCAACCTATGTCGTGAAGTTATTCAGACTCTTCTGAATAAGACCAATGAAACTCAGACATCTTTGAATGGTGTTTACCAGCCTCCAGTGCACTTTGAGAACAGCGAGTTTTACGGGTTCTCAGAGTTCTACTACTGTACTGAAGATGTGTTACGGATGGGGGGAGAGTACAGTGCTGCTAAGTTTCTGAAAGCCGCCAAGGTAAAGCTCGTTCTGGGTCATATTAGTACTTTGTGCTAAGCACTATGTGGATCACTATCTAGAAATGTGCATGGATCATGGTCTGGCAGAGAAGTGTATTGGCCTGGAATATAGGAACGGCCAAGGTTCTAATTCTTGTCTCATGCAGGATTTGTCGGGTGACCCTGGGCAAAATGTTGTGTCTGCTTTTAGTTTCCTGTCTGTAAATAAGCAATAAACAGAAAAATGTATGTATGGATAGGAGTGTATGTTTGTTTTACCCAGACTTCTTATCTTTGAAGCCCTCAGTAGCCCCCTCATCTCATTCCTTCTCTGCTGTCACATCTTGGTAACATTCCTGCCTTCACTGCTCCAGTTCCACTGCTCTCACCAGTCTGAAGGACTCCTGCTTCCTCCAGTGACATTGCCCTTCCTGTCCCTTATGACTGCCTCCCAGCATACCTACATGCAGGCCCATAGCCATGTTGGGGCATTTGGGGGTAGAGCCCCACCACAGATGAGCCCTGGCCCACCCCAGGGGGATGCCAGACCCCCCACCCCGGTACACTTCACCCCTGCAGCGGTGGGGAGGCTGGGAAAGGAAAGGGAAGCGGCACAGCGGCTTCTGTTTCCTTCCCCAGGCTCCCTGCCACTGGGGGGGGGTGCTGGGGTAGGAGAGAGAGGGCATACCTTCTCCCCCCCTTCCTCCCCCCCCATCCCCTTTGCTACCCCACATGCTGCTGGGTAACTTTATTTGGGCGTCTGGAAAAGGTGAGCCGGCCGGAATGCGCTCTCTGCTACAGAGCGGAGAGCACACTGGCTGGCTTACCTTCTCCTGCTTAAATTAAGCAGCTCAATTAGATCACTAATTAGATTAGATTAGTAATTAGGTAACTAGATGATCCATATTCCTCATACATTCTGAAGGTTTGGTCTTTAAGTGTTTTAATGTGTT